GAAGAAAAGAAGGATTTTAAACCACCTTAAGAAAAAGAAGGAAGTGGAAGTATATATTTGTATTACACACAAATATAAAAATGTTTATTTTCAAAAGGATATATTAATTTGACTCGAATTGTGGATCCCTTGTCACCACGGCATGACGCGTCCTCAGGTTGCGGATGGAGGAGACGGCCTCCAGATATGGAGGGTAGCTTCAACTATATAGAATAAGCAGTCGTGAACAGCCGACAAGAAGTGGTCCTCCAGCTTGGAGGTTGGGCGTGGGGCTAACAATTACTCGTCGTAGAAAATAAGCTTCTTACGAAAATGTACACAAAGCCTCGGACCTGGACTGATCCTCTAGAACTTGGTCTCTGACATTAAGGGAGGAACATAGACTGAGGGTGTTGAGAATATTTGGACCGAAGGGGGATGAAGTGACAGGAGGCTGGAGAAAACTGCATAATGAGGAGCTTCATAACTTGTAGTTTTTTCCAAGTGTAAACAGAATGATCAAGTCAAGGAGGATGAGGTGGGCAGGGTATGTAGCACAAATGGGTGAGAAGAGGAATTCATATAGGATATTGGCGGGAAAGCCAGAAGGAAAGAGATTACTGGGAAAACCAAGGCGTAGGTTGGTGGACAATTTTAAAATGGATCTTAGAGAGATTGGGTGGGATATTATGGATTGTATTTATCTGGCTCAGGATAGGGTCCAGTGCAGGGCTTTTGTGAACATGGTGATGAACCTTCGGGTTCCATAAAACGCTGGGATATTCTTGAATAGCTGCACAAATGTCAGCTTCTCAAGAAGGGCTCAGCTCCATGAGTAAGTAAGCAAGTAAGTACTGTACGTGAAGAGATGTCACTGTTGGTATAAATAGGATAGGATGTGAACTTTGAGAGATTAAATGAATCTAATTTTATTGAAAGAATTAATATCTATCCAATCAGAATGACACTCCTACCTTCTTCGGTCTCTCAAGCACTGGGGTCGCCGTTTCATATCCTATTCCGAGCATGGTTGTATGTTAGCGTTTTCTTCCGTATGCTTTGAAATGGATTGATCTCCCCTTGGAATGAATCCTACCAAATGGATAAAAATGATTCAGAAATTTAGACGTCATTATCAGATTGCAGCAGACCTGAAACGAGAATTCGTATATTTGAATAAGAAGAACAATATATGTAAAGTATTGAAGGTTGTAATTACCCTAACTGTTGTAGAATAACTTACTGATAAGGATATTCCAAATGGAATTGGAAACGTTTTTATATTCGGAAATTTCTAAAGTGAAGATAAGCTTACAGCTGAACCCTATGTTGATTATCGACAGTAGTGCTTCCCTCATTAAGCTAATGTAATCAAGAGTTTAAATACGTAAACGTGACCGCCTTTATTTATTCACATCTACAGTCAATTAATTAATTAGTCAGTAGTAGTAATAAGTGGCAACGTGGCAAATGAATAGTAATCAGTGATAATAGCGTAATTAATAATGTAACTTAACAAATCCTAAATGACGTTTGGAGTGTAATTACCCCAGTGTTTGAAGTAGCATATGGCCTAGAGCTCGTGCGAATTGAGGCTCCAGACCTTGGCTTGCGATGCAACTGAATGTCAGTTTCACATTTCGGGAACTCCCGCCGACACCTGTGGAGAGAAAACAGATTTCATTGTTCTTTTTTCCCAAATAAGAGAAACCACGTCCTTTGGACCTTCAGGACTGTAATCACATCATCAGATCCTGAGGAATTGAAATGTCTCTGCCACTAGTGCATTAGCACTGCGCCTTCTCCAGACATGCGGAAATCAGGACAGGAAGCTGGCGTCCTCGAAATATTTGTTTGTGATGACTGAAGAAGACATGCTCGTCATCATAAGAGGAGCCAGAGTAGAGAAGTGGGCCGATAGTCCATAAGACCCAGATTCCCCTTCTTGATGGGGAGGTTCAGTGGACCACAGAATCTTCCTGGATATTTCTACAAAAAGATATTCCCTTCTTGATAAATTGGGGAGATTTTCATGTTTCCTATTCAACTGGAATTTTATTTATTACAGATATAAGTATATTATTGGCCGGGATAGCGCAGTCAGTACAGCGACTGGATACTGGCTGGACGACCAAAGGATCGGGGTTCGATTCCCGGTGTGGTCAAGAATTTTCGCTTCTCCATGTCGTCCAGACCGGCTCTATGATCCACCCAACACCCTATCCAATGGGTACCGGGGGCTATTCATCCGGGGGTAAAGCGGCCGGGGCGTGAAGCTGACCACTCACCTCCAGCTAATCAGAGGTCAAGACAAAGTGAATCTATACATCAACTACCCTATACGCTTTCATGGCGTAGTGCTTAATTAGTTAAGCACAGGGACAATTTTACCTTATATAAGTATTTTATTGAAAAATTATAGCGTTTCACTAAAATACCTGAACTACTTTCCTATATGTTTCGTCGTTTATCAAAATATGTATTTTAAGTAGACTCTGCACTAAATCGAATCTATATGGATTTGTGTTGGTTGTTCTTTTTTACGAAAATTTACATTTTAATAGGGCTCTTTGTCTGCCGAAACCATACTATCCCAACAAATCCTGGTTTGAATGTCAAAGTACCACTTGAATGCAAATCTGCTAAGCAATTATGAAACGTGCGGACAACCAGACACACTTTCATGCATCTTGTTGAAACAACTTGTAACAAAAACCTTCAGTTACTAGGAACTGTAAATGGCATATCATAAACTGTACAACTACGTCTTAATGTCGTGTTATTTTCCAGACAACAGGTGTTTAGTTTACATGTTAATTTTAAAAAAAATAATGGTCTTGCTCAACAGAAGATAAATTGCATATAGTAAAGCTCCTGAAGTTAAGTTAACCTTTGATTGCTGACACGTGACGAAATTTAGTTTTACTACAGTAACCATTGTCTTCAAACAATTGTAGTAGCAGCTCTGTACTGATCCACTCGAATTCCGCTGTCGGACTTCTGCGTTGTGTTGTCCTGTGTAGGTCGAGCCTCTGTACTTACTTACTCATGGAGCTGAGCCCTTCTTGAGGAGCCGCCAATTCTGCAGCTACTCAAGAATTTCCCAGCATTTTGTGGAACCCGAAGGTTCATCACCGTGTTCACAAGAGCCCTCCACTGGTCCCTATCCTGAGCCAGATTCATCCAATCCATACCATCCCATCCTATCTCTCTAAGATCCATTCGAACATTGTCCACCCACCTACGCCTTGGTCTTCCTTGTGGTCTCTTTCCTTCTGGCTTTCCCACCAATATCCTATACGCATTCCTCGTCTCCCCCATTCGTGCTACATGACCTGGCAACCTCATCCTCCTTGACTTGATCATTCTAATTATGCTTGGAGAAGAGTACAAGTGAACAGAAATAACTCTCGAGAAGTTCTACAAAATACTTAAAATGATGCATTACTTTAGAATGAATTATGAACTGGAACAAGCTATAAGGATTGTGGTCTTTGCAAGCAGAAGAAGAAAATGACTGTGAAGATGATGAAGGATTGCCTATAATTCCACAGTCGTACATCCGAGTCAGTGTCGGTTCAGATATTACAGATATTACACAATATTACAGCGCCTGATTAGCACTCATGTAGTATCGAGTTCGAATCCCAGCTGAGGAACACATATCCTGACAGGTTTCTCATGAGTCTCTCAGTTCCCTTAGGCTTTGTGTCAATACCAAGACAGTAGACCTAATTTAAAAAGCGCCACTACAGCTTTCTCCCGATTTTATGTTCACTGTACCATGCATATCTCATTCGGAAATGCACAACATCAGCAGCTGATAAAATATTTTTATACAGCAGAAATAACAACACCTTTATCATTCGGCCGGGTGCTTCAAAGCAATGAGTGTGTCCATAAATTATTTTCCTGAAAAACATAAAAACAATCGGAAGTAATCTTATTTAAGACATGTTAAACTTTCGTAACAAATTTGATATTATCACGTGTATCAGTGACTTGTAGACAGTATTTGGATTACTGGAATGATTTATTGGCTACTCAGGAGTCATAATTATAATTAATTACATCACTCTAAAATTATGGTAACTATAGCACATAAAATAATTCTTCAACGTCTGCTTGCTTAGTCGTCGCTTGGTAACATTTCAACTGCCATGAACGATGACTTTCGAATGAATCTTGAAGAATCTCTACTCTCTCGAATTCTGGATCTGGATGTTTGAATCTCGGACCGAGGTAACTTCATGCGGACCGAATATAGATCACCAAGTAGAACAGTTGATTTTCCTCTGTTATTCTGTTTCATCCGTTACCACCGAAGAGCAGAAACCTCCGGGCAGCGCTTTCATTTATACAAGCGTATTCATTGCCTCGTTAAGGTGTTTTAGCTAGCCGTTGTCTAGCAATTGACTCCTGGTTCTGGCTCTATTATTCCGACTTTCAGGCGTCATGTAACAATATCTATAAACATTTAACAATTTCACGTACATTTTCATGCCCAGAACTGTAGGTAAAATTGTCCCTGTGCTCAATTAAGCACCTCATTCCATAACAGATGCTAATTCCATGCACTGTTACACTGAGAACTGGACGGAGGTGCGTAACTACCGCTTTAGCGCCAACACTTAGTGGATAAGATACTTGGTGGGTTCATAACCGGTCTGAATGCGGTGCGAGGAGAAAAATTCTTGTTCCTGCCAAGAATCGAAATGTGGTCGCCCAGTCCGTCAGTCATTAATATACCCCCTGCGCGTACGGGCTTCATCACAGACGATTCGGAATTCCTGTTGTCTTAGCGCGTATTTGGTCTGAAATGTTAAATTCTCCCATTATTTCTATTTACCGAGATATTCATTACAGACTTCGATTGCCCTTCCCTCTGCTAGGAGACACGAAATAAAGACGAGACTGTTATAGTTAAGAACATATTCGAAACATTTGTGTACACCATTTTTAATCTTTCGTCTCTTATAATATTTCCGCCAGAGAATCTAAATTAATTTTTTTTTCCACAGGTTCTGTATACTTCCTACCGGTTGCAACAGTGCAGTACTGCCTGACATAACGAACCAAACACAGAGCTGACTCCTGCACTACTTGGTTGCTTTAAATTCGCCAGTAATGATACTTTGTATCAAGACGTGCTGAATAAAACATCGAGAAATTGTGATAAGGTATAATTTCGTCAGTGAGAATTCATTTTATAATACTTTGGAGAGAAATTATAGTCCACAATGAAGAATGACGTTGAAAATGGGAATTCGACGGTGAGTGCTATTTGTATGATTGTTATAGTTATAGGAGATCTTAGGAATATATTTGTAGACATTAATGGTCTATTTATTTATTTTAAAGTCTTGCAGTTTTCTTGTCGTTTTGAAAATACCCTGCCATTAATTTATAAATACTTATTTATGAAGTCATGGAAACAGGTCCAAAATATTTGCATATCCTTAACACGTATCTCACTTTAGTCGAGTGAGGTGGTTGTGAAATATTAAATGTTGATTTTAAGGATAATTTATCATTCACGGACTATTTTACATAGTTGTAGGATTTGAGGTTCTCACAGCAGTGGTTATGAAGGCTTCTACGCGTATTTTCTGGAATACAGCACCGTTTAGTAACTTCAAAGTCACCCGAGGTTTCGGAGAAATAAGTCTTAAAATTGAAAAGTAATTCAAGCAAGAAACAAACAAGGTGTTTGCATTATCTGATTTCTTGCTTGACTTATACTACAGTTTCGAATATGGAGACGACATATTCATCCTAAAATTCTGTTGGCTTTTAGTGAACTACATGGAGTTATATCCCAGAAGAAAGAACTGTTTATTATATATAAGATTTGAGGCTTTCACGGCGGTGACTATGAAGAAAGCAGTATTCTGGGATTTGGCACCGTGTATATGTGGTGTTAACCGACGTTTCGGAGGAACGTATCGCCTCCATCTTCAGGGTAGGAGAAAAAATATAAGAAATCTNCTTTCCGCTTCAACACAAATATGATTCTAGTAATATATTATATTTTCAAATTGCACTATATCAGATTTAACACCAGATTAAAGTTTTCATACTGGAATCTGTAAGTTCAGCAGGAACTCATCCTAGAGTGACTATCGGGTATCAGATTTCAATCGAAATCTGCTACAGGGCGATTTTACGAGACGAAAAATCAATACAACCCTCCCTGGGAGTGAATGGTGCAGATGAAATTCAATGGAAAACCGCTAGAAGAAGTTACAGGATATGAAAATTCCACAGAATTCCGCCCACTGGCTGGTCAATGATGAATCATCCTACCGCTGCTATGAATCAGTCGAAAGAAGTCAGAATGCAATGCAAATCTGCGCAGTTTCTCGTGAGTCAGATATCGCAGACCAGAATATATGACTGCGAGATAATGGGTACCGTCTGCGTCCATCATCATAGATCCTCACATGTTCCATTTATCCTTTTTCGTACCTGTGAAAGAGTCACTGAACAGATGCCACTGTGAGTTCCGCTCTCTACTTCAAGTGCAGTAGACTGTGCTCTATTGGTTATATCATCATATTACAGAGTTCCAGGGGAAATGCATTCATTCCTTGGTGACTTAATGGGAAACATGTCTCAATTCTAATGTAAACTTTGGGCGACATTCCTGAAATATCACCAATATTCAGTTTGTTTCGATGGTTCGTTACATGCTACTCCCATTACTTTTCAGATACGTATCAAATAAGGTGTTGCCGGTCACGGTAGCCGAGCGGTCTAAGGCATGCACTGTCTTCGCTCGCTCGGAAGCCAGGATCGTAGGTTCGAATCCCACTCAGGGCATGGATGTTTGTGTGCGTTTTTCTGTGTTTGTCTACAGGTAGAGGCCTTCCGACGAGCTGATCGCTCGCCCAAGGAGTCCTACCGTATGTCTAAGACTTAGTAAACCGAAGTGAAACGGAGAGTTTCATGGAGGTAGGCCTAGGCCCAAATTGGGGCTGTAGCGCCACAGAAAAAGAAATCCAATAAGGTGTTACAAATGCAGTCATCGAAATTAAGGATTAAATTTATATGACAGGCGGCAGAAGAAGTAATAGATAAGAGTAACTTCTCGTAAACTGACAAGCCAACAACTGAGACACACTTTCGTATCAGTTGGCCTTAATCATCAGTCTTTCAGTCTGGCAGCTTGAATGTGTACTCATCTCTTATCAGAAAAGTTGGATACGCTAGGTGTAATTTAAATGCCATCAACCTTGAAGAGTATGATGCCTATTTCGATCTGTCTATTCCACTCTTTTTTTATCTTACATTTCGGGAAAAATTACGGAACCGCCATATTCATGTGGTTATGCAGGGTTTCTATAGAACACCCGAAGCAGTTACATATTATTTTTTATGAATGTTATGAAATTGGAAGCCACTCGAACTTTAATACACGAGAAAATTACCATACAAATAATGTCAATATGGCGGCCGTTATATTTTGATATTACTATTATTGTGCGGTATTGATTCCTTTTTATGTGAAAGTTCCCGAGAAATAAATCACTTGATTGAAGTTACTTTCATGTAGAATATAAAGCAAGAACATTGCAAACACACGAAATCTATGTTATCTGTCTTGTTTAAATGCAATATCTAACGAGCAATTTTAGCTCTACTTGCGAAATTTAGTGTGAGCATATATAAGTCGTATTAGCCAGATATTCAAGTAATATATTTTTGTATTGCAAATTACAAACATGACGACGATGTGGAGCTTTAAGATTATATCCGCCATATTTTGGTTGGGTAAAATCATACTAACATGAACTATGTACGAATATGTCTTACTTCCTTACTCATGGAGCAGAACCCTTCTGGAGGAGCCGCCAATTCTGCAGCTACTCAAGAATTTCCCAGCATTTTATGGAACCCGAAGGTTTATTACCGTGTTCAAAAGAGTCCTCCACTGGTCCATATTCTGAGCCAGATCAATCCAATCTACACCATCCCATCCTATCTCTCTAAGATCCATTTTAGTATTGTCCACCCACCTACGTCTTGGTCTTCTCAGTGATCTATTTCCTTCTGACTTTCCCACCAATATCCTATACACATTCCTCGTCTCCCCCATTTGTGCTACATGCCATGCCCACCTCATCCTCCTTGACTTGATCATTCTAATTATACTTGGAGAAGAATACAAGTTATGAAGCACCTAATTATGGAGTTTTCTCCAACCTCCTGTCACTTTATCCTTCTTCGGTCTAAATATTCTCCTCAACACCATGTTCTCAAACACCCTCATTCTATATTCATATCAGAGACGAAGTTTCACACCCATACAAAATCACAGGTAAAAGTATGGTTTTGTATATTCTAATGTTTATGTTTTTGGACAGCAGACGAGAAGAAAGATTCTGGACTGAATGGTAGCAAGCATTACCCGAGTTCAATCTCCTCTTAACGAATATGTTTAAGTTGTTTAATTATTAATTAATAATCTACTAACGTTTAGCTGGAAAGAGGAGAACTTAACGTGAAATCGTGCCATAGATACTTCCCTGAGATTTCTGCATCATTTGCTCACACACACGGCGCCGAGGACACGTATGATTGTGGCAGAAAATTTATACCGACGTTTTTATGGAGAAATATATTTTTGCATGCTGCTTACTTCGAGACATTTGATTTCGATAAGCTTTGAATGTCAGTCAGTCTGTCTCAAATTTTGTAGTACCTCACGCATTCCGCTGATTTCCTCCATACCTTTCAGGAGCAAATGCTCGTGTTCCACGATTTATCGATTTGAAAACTCAGTTTAATATGTATCGAATGCCTCTTGCGGTTCTAAATAAATCTCCTTGAATTATTGACAGCTCTGCATATGCTGGATATCCCGAAGTCTAACATCTAATGCTGAAAATAGTGAAATTTTTCCCCCTGGCACTATAAATGCTGTGGTCCTAGGCCTACCTCCATGAACTTCTCCATGAACTTCGGTTTTTCTAGAACTTACACATTCGGTAGGACTCCTTGGGCGAGTGATCAGCTCGTCGCAATGCCTCTACCAGTAGACAAACACAGGAAAACGCACACACAAACTAAACATCCTTGCCCTGAGTGGGATTCGAACCTACGATCCCGGCTTCCGAGCGAGCGAAGACAGTGCATGCCTTAGACCGCTCGGCTACCGTGACCGGCTAAAATAGTGTATAGGTCTACATAATTGTATAATTCGTTTTTTTTTTCCTTGGCACTACAGCCCCAGTAGGCGTAGGCCTACCTCCATGAACTCCGTTCACTTCGGTTTTTCTAGATCTTACACATACGGTAGGACTCCTTGGGCGAGTGATCAGCTCGTCGCAAGGCTTCTACCTATAGACAAACACAGAAAAACGCACACAAACATCCATGCCCTGAGTTGGATTCGAACCCACGATCCCGGCTTCCGAGCGACCGAAGACAGTGCATGCCTTAGACCGCTCGGCTACCGTGACCGGCAATTTGTCTTTACCTAACCTGAATATTCAGTGCACTCTCACAGAGCAGTTTAAGAAACAGCCATCCAATTGTCAGCGTAAGTGCCGCTTCCTCAGACCTCATATTTCCCATTACAATTCTTATATATATAATATGCATTATATTTAAGGTATAGTTCTCAATATCTGCATTCATTAGAGCTTATTATAATCTGTCATAACCTATAATACGCCATCATCACAACTGAAGATGTTCTATTTCCTGTAATAAAATGCGTAAATGAGAAAATAAAAGTATATAACGAATACAAGAAAATTAATAATAGAAACCGGAATGTAATTCTGCATGAAATGTCCTTCGATAAAACATATCAATTCCGGAAGCAGTAAGAAATACACTGTTCTAGCAATACGTTAAATTATATGCAGACAAAAAGATTATTAAAGTTATGTGTAGTTGCTTGTTTTCCCTCCCATTATGCAAACATTTCGTCTTGTTAATTCACTGAGACTTCCTTGCATGCGGAAGCCAGTACATGAACCAAATTTGTAATTCAAATTCTTTCCTCTTATTCTAATAATAGCAATATTTATGGGAAAGATAAGAAATACATAACAAATTGTTTCAAATCTTGAAGAAAAAATTAATTGAGAAATTTGAAAGTAGGTGGGTGTAATATTAAAATATATCTTGAAGAAGATGGGTATGAGGATGCCGACTGCTTCTGGACACGATACAATGGCAGCCCTTATTTAATTATGTACTTTCTCGTTTTCGGTTTGTATAAAGACTCTTCCAGTTTCTAAGATTATACGAATTCGAATGATATAATGATCAGTGTATAATGAATCAGAGTGGATGTGAAAGGAAGCGGCTATGATCTAATATAAGGTGCTATTCCGCAATTTCCATTGGCGGACTGAGAGACCGGGAAAACCCTTTGGCAGGGTGACTGATCTCCAGGCAGCGTGTGATGGCCTCTTGGGAGCGCAGGAATATATTCAGGCTCTATGAATGGCATGGAAATTACCAGTACCTGAGCGATGAGTGGTCAGCTTTGTGCTCTGGACATTCAACTTCTGGAAAAGAGCCTTCATTATACACTGGATAGCAGGCCCAGTAGGGCTCACAGAAAAAATGGAGTTGAGTCACTTCAGTTTAGATGGTTGCATATCTTAATGCCTTGAGAACCAGCAGAATTTAGGATATTATATCTGTATTAATTATAATTAATACTGTCCTCAAGATGCCTTAAATCTTTATTTTGTAAACTAACTCTGTGATCAATTCTACCCCTCCCCGGTTAAAAAGAATTACCCTTTCCTGGACTAAAATATTAACGACTGCATAATAATGTTGACTTAACAAGAAGTATTGGGAAGAACCAATAGATTAATTTCCTCTCATACGACACGGACTGCATAGAAAATGATGCGTCCAATATTTCTCCTATTGTTTAGTGTATATTCATTGCCGCGGTAACGTTTTTACCGAGCCTTTGCCTAGCAACGAGGAGGGACAAACATATATAGACTGATTCATTCATTCATCTGTAATCTGTCAAGACGACAGGTCCACAGTCTCTTCCAAAACAGTTCCTCCCCTTGATGCCATCTAGAGCTTTCTCCTTCAAATGAAAATATCCTCTTCTGTCCCCAAGGTCATCCAGCATCTTCTTACGTCTTCTTCCTCGTCTTCTGGTCACTTCTATCCGCCCCTCTATCTTTCCTTCAATATCTTCTTCTAGAAGGCAGTTACCGCGTAAGATATGACCAATCCAATTAGCCTTCCGTTTTCTTATTTCGTGTAGGATATTCCTCTGCTCACTGACTCTAAATAACACTTCTTCATTTCTCACATAATCGGTCCAACTGATCTTCTCCATCCTTCTCCAACACCACATTTCGAAGCTTTCCAGGTGTTTCTGATCTACTGTCCTAAGTGTCCAAGTTTCATCCCCATATAAAGCAATGCTCCAAATGTTCCAAATGTAGCATTTCACTAGTTTCTTTCTCATACAGACTGATGAGAGAGATTTATGAAGTACGCTTTGAGATGTGTTTAATGGGGAGAGGATACACAGACAGAGAGCATGGTTATATCATAAACCTCCTTTTATTGTTATCAAAATAAGTAAAGAAGGCTAAAATATACAGACAAAATCTATTAGAATATACAGAATGGGGCGCAGAAACTTCCTTTTTGTGAAGACGCATTGTGAAAGAAGGGGAGGTCGCAGAAAAGTGGCGATAGCTTCGGCGAACGCAGCAGTCGCGGAAGTTTCTGTCTAATACCCCTCAGTAGGAAACATGAGGTGGACGAGTGAGCAGCGTGCGTTTGCTCTCGAAGCCTATTTTTCGAACAACCATTCATAAGTGGCGGTGCAGCGTGCGTTCCGTACTCACTTCGGAATTAAGCCCAGAGGTCCGGTTCCCGACCGGAAATCGATTGTTTTGTGGGTAGAGAACTTTAGCACAACCGGGAATGTGGTGAAAAAATCACCAGGACGACAACGGACCGTTACGACTCCAGAAAATGTGACGCAGTTCGACAGTCGATTTTGAGATCTTTTTCGAACCAGCTCTTGAAGAAATGCATTTAGGAACAGGATGGTTCCACGGCTCACACAGCCCGAGCTTCGATAACATTTTGAGGCAAAGTNCTGTGAAGACGCATTGTGAAAGGAGGGGAGGTCGCAGAAAAGTGGCGATAGCTTCGGCGAACGCAGCAGTCGCGGAAGTTTCTGTCTAATACCCCTCAGTAGGAAACATGAGGTGGACGAGTGAGCAGCGTGCGTTTGCTCTCGAAGCCTATTTTTCGAACAACCATTCATAAGTGGCGGTGCAGCGTGCGTTCCGTACTCACTTCGGAATTAAGCCCAGAGGTCCGGTTCCCGACCGGAAATCGATTGTTTTGTGGGTAGAGAACTTTAGCACAACCGGGAATGTGGTGAAAAAATCACCAGGACGACAACGGACCGTTACGACTCCAGAAAATGTGGAGGCAGTTCGACAGTCGATTTTGAGATCTTTTTCGAACCAGCTCTTGAAGAAATGCATTTAGGAACAGGATGGTTCCACGGCTCACACAGCCCGAGCTTCGATAACATTTTGAGGCAAAGTTCCCCGGACGGCTCATCTCGCTTCGAGGTTACATCCAGTGGGCAGCGCACTCACCTGATCTAACGCCTTGTGATCTTTTTTATGGGTATACCTCAAGGCAGAGGTTTTTAAACATCGCCCCACAAACCTGCTTCAGCTGAAGGATGTTATTCGGCAGGAAGTAGCCCAAATTCCGGTGCACATGTTGGAACGTGCAGAGGGGAACTTCAGAAAACGGTTGCATCAGTGCATGGAGAACGGTGGCNACGCAGTTCGACAGTCGATTTTGAGATCTTTTTCGAACCAGCTCTTGAAGAAATGCATTTAGGAACAGGATGGTTCCACGGCTCACACAGCCCGAGCTTCGATAACATTTNTCTTTTATTCGGCTTAAAAGAAAGGAAGTTCCTGCGCCCCACCCTGTACTGACACAGCACTTCCTTCTCTGAGCTTGTCTGGGATATTTACGAAGATGTAAGCCTTTTAAATATATTTTGGGTGTTAGAATACAGTTAACTCAACCCTTATCTTCCATGACCCCGTTTCTTCATAATGCACTTACCATGTGTTTTAACTTGTATGTAGGTCTCATTATGTAGTTCTGTTTTTGTGCTTCCTGAGAGCGAATAATGCAGCATAAATTTTGGAAAATGCGTCTTTCTCTTTCAATTCGTCGAATCACATTTACATTTGTAGGCGTCCTGTCACTACTGGGGAAACAGCATTTCCTTCTAATGTATCTCACCTCCCTCTCTTCTCTAGTCACCTAAAGACATGTTCGAATTTAACTATCCTTATGTCATTCCTGAATTTTTCAATCATGGCTACATCCAACTTCCGGATAAGGGAGTAAGTTCAACTCTGCTGTGAAATATATTTGTCTTAATTTCCTTCAATATGTTCTTATCCTGAAAGATTCCACGAACATTTTCGTTGAAGTTTTTCCCTTAGAAATCATTTTTAAATATTTCTTCCTCAATATTCGGACATAGCTATTATTTACCTTAAGTGTCTGAAGAAGTTATCATTTGTAATGAATTCCACTTCCTTATTTAAATCTCCAACTTACTCTCCCTCTGCGACCGTTGTATGTTAATACAACTGTCCATACCAGTGTAACGTGTCGTATTATATAAGACATATTTTTTTGCTTCATATATATATATATATGTTAGTATTTATATAAACATAAATTTTTGCTACATATATATATATATATATATGTATATATATTAGTATATAACATGACACGTTGCCCTGGTATGGACCCATATCGGTAGTTCAATAACTAAACGTATTCCTATATTAACTGCCTGATGATGGTCTTACACAACCGAAACATGTAACAGAAATAAAAATTCCAACTGTAAAACATTAAAACTGAGTATATTTGTTTTCTTGACGGCTAACATAATTTCTATATGTATTATTCCCTTTTGTTATAAATTAAATGTGTCTTTCTACAGGAATTCGGAAATGTGAACAAAGCATTTGAAGATGATTCAGGACAACAGGATATACAACTCAAGTCCTCACAGTTGAACGGAGTTCCTATCGTTGCTGCAACAACTGACAAAACAAAACTGGTATGTTTTATTCATTAACTACTTACTTATGAAGCTGAGCCTTCTTGAGGAGTAGCCAAATCTGCAGCTACTCAAGAATTTTCCAGTTCTTTATGGAATCCTAAAGTTCATTTCCGTGTTCACAAGAGCATTCCTCGTCTCCCCCATTCGTGCTACATGCCCTGCCCACCTCATCATCCTTGATTTGATCATTCTATTTATACCTGGAGAAGGGTACACGTTATGAAGCTCCTCATTATGTAGTTTTCTCCATCCTCCTGTCACTTCATCTCTCTTCGGTCCAAATATTCTCAACACCCTGTTCTCAAACACCCTCAGTCTATGTTCCTCCTTTGATGTCAGAGACTAAGTTTCACGCCCATACAGAACCACCGGAAAAATTATAGTTTTATGTATTCTAATTTATATTAGAAACATATTTTTAATTCCAAAATAGTGCAGTGTGTGACCTGCATCCTAATTCTCATAAAGGGAACCTATATCTCCCGATTTGGTTTTCTCTTGACATGTCTTAAATTGTGTTTAAAATAAGTATAGGGCAGATACCCACCCTGAAGTTGGAGGCAGTAGATTCCTCCGAAAATTAATGCCCACTTACCAGACTACAGGGTATTATAGCAAGGAAGAGTATGATATGAATTTAATAACCATTCTATAATAATGCATAAGAGAGAAATCGAAAGCACAGGGTGCTGAAATATTTGCTTTCAGGTGTCATTTCTTCTTGTCTCTGTCTGTTTCTGTGACACGCTATCAATTATGTATCGAGCTATGAATTGACTGGCTGATAAACTCGATTCTATTTGTTCACAACCCAGTCCCTAACAACTCTTCCGGTATGGATGAAGTGAGGAAAGCCACGAAAACTCATGTGAGAACAGTCCTATGTCCTGGTTGAGACTGAGCTCCCGCGAACGAAGCAGGAGACCTGATCAATAACTTCAATATTGTGTACAGACTAATGGTTTAATATACCCGAAAGTAACGTGTTATAGTGAGTGTTGACTTGAAAGCAGATTATTCTATAATATCTAGAAATTTGTGGTTGTTTAACACTATGCATATTAAAAATACAAACAATGAAATGAATATCTAATTCCGAAACTCCGCTTGGTAACATGCTTATACAGATTATGTCTACTTGTTAGGATGGTGCCACGGATGCCGAAGAGAATGTCAGTGCCGGTCAAGAAAGACAACAGTGGTCAAATGGAATTGAGTTCCTCATGTCATGTATTGCCATGTCAGTTGGGCTGGGCAATATTTGGAGGTTTCCTTACACAGCGTTCAAAAATGGGGGCGGAGCATTTCTCATACCCTACATCGTGGTCCTCTTCCTCATCGGCAAGCCATTGTATTACTTGGAGATGGCTGTAGGACAGTTCGTGTCTGGAGGACCAGTCAAAGTTTGGGTACTCTCACCAGCACTCAAAGGTACGTTAGGAGCTCCTTCCGTCCAGTTCTAGAAAGGACTCTTGACATTTTGTTTCCTTCGGATATTTCTGTCTGTATAGTGCGATTCTTAAGAGCTGTATAATTCAGTCATGTTTCATTTGAATATTTTACTTTAATATATATTTATAAAATATAATCTTAAACATGAGCTCCGTGATCATACATGTATATATTAAACATATAAAACAGAAAGTTTATGTAAAACTTCTATGTAAGTTTACAGTCTCTACCCATACAGAATTCTGTATGCGTTCTTTCATTAGTTACTATTGAAAAATGGAAAGACTGATGTATATTTCACGCCCTTATCATGTTGCTATCTCACAAAATAGAAAAAGAAGAAATTCTAAACTAAACAGAAACTGCGTGAATCTATTCCCACACGTGATCGTAGAAGCCTACGTTAAACGGCGTTAGTGCTGCTCCCACCTCCAATATTCGATTGCAGATCTTTTGGATATTACTGATGTTAATGACGATTGGCTAGTCCATAACGTCATATGTTCATAACAAATTTTTCAGACTCGATCGTTTGACGCGAAATTTATTAGGAGGCATATACACAGACACGTCCCATGTTGCTATCTTTCCTTTTAGATGAAGCAAGCAATCTGGAAACTGTATTTCAAAACTAATACATGGAAGAAAGAAAAAGGATAAAGCTGCAACTAACAGGGAGAAGCAAAACCACTTGGTTTTATTTTGCCTCAGAATGCCTCAAATCCGAGATTAACGGCCGTGGGGATTCGTTGGGCTGACCACTCAACACCCTCTATTCACTAAAGTTGGCACTAACTTCGCCGATAAGTGGCGGTCGCTTGGTCGGTATAGTTCGCTTGCGGACTAAAGGCCACAGAGAAATGTCTCATAGTATTTCTAACAGTTTGCTTACTGAGATTGCGACCATTCGAGTTGTTGGTAATCACGAAACCATACGACATCATGAACCGTAAGACTACAATTTTACTATTCTCAACCTCAAGCTTATCCATTTTGCTAATGTTTGTTGCAGGCCTTGGCTATGGACAGATGTTTGCCACAATCATGGTGCTCATCTACTACTGCTCTCTAATGGCTCTCACTGTGTTTTACTTCCTTCAGTCGTTTGCCTCTGAACTGCCGTGGTCGACGTGTGCAGAAGAATGGGACAATTGTTTTGACTCCAAAGGCGCAGAAGGCAATATTAGTGACGCTGCAAATCGTACAGGTTACAAGAGTTCGTCTGAATTATATTTTTAGTAAGTGACCATTCTCTATGCGGTAAAAAAAATATATATATGTGTGTAACATATAGAAAGAACGAAATCAAAGTACATTACAATGAATGATACGTTTTATGTTTCACTGGTAGTACCACACACAATATGTTTAATATTCTAACCTCCTAAATTCCTACCTTATTGAAAATAATTTGTATGCTTTATTCTTCAAAGTGCATAAAATAAAATTTTGTACGTTTATTCGTATATTTTCATCTCCCATAGTAAATATTGCGATTAAATTTGATATTCAGGGCATTCAGTAATATTTCGTACGTGAATTCCGTTTTAATCAGTATTAGTCCACTATAACGTATACACCATACCAAATTTCTACTACGTGTATTTAAAAAAATCAGATCCTGAATTTGACAACTAACGTCCATAAAAGTAATATTAATGGGCTGACATTGTGCGAGACCGGCCAGGAGGGGTCTTGGGTTCCCTGCTCGTGTGCCTTGAAGACCTACAAAGGTTTATGGGCTTCTCGAAAAATACGAATGTAGGACAGATATCGGGCTCGACCCTTCGCTTTCTCTTGTTATTTTGTTTTGTTTTGTGCCCATTGGGGAACTTGTAAAGAGATAGTAGTTGTTTACAGGGAGTGGAGGAGGACTGTTGAAATGTAGACAGAGAACAGAGAAGTGTTTTGCAGTAGGGGTAGCGAGTAGGATGGACTGAGCGGCTAGCTTGGAGGACAATGTAAATATTGATCTTCTTTCTTCTTTCTTGGAACTACAGCCTCAGTGGGCCTAGGCCTACTTCTATGAACTTCTCCGTTCACTTCCGTTTTTCTTGATCTTACACATTCAGTAGGACCCCTTGGGCGGGTAATCAGCTCGTCTCAAGGCCTCTACCTGTACACAAACACAGAAAAACGCACACAAACAAACTAAACATCCATGCCCTGAATGGGATTCGAACCCACGATCCCGGTTTCCAAGCGAGCGAAGACAGTACATGCCTTAGACCGCTTGGCTACCGTGACCGGCGTAAATATTGATCACTGAATGAAATTTTAAATTAAAACTGCAATACACGGTGTGTTCTGGAACCCCCTGGATTCGTGAACCCCGAAGTATGTTCCACTCCCATCTCCGAAGCACCCGTATCCCTGAGATAAAGAACTCAAGCTCGAGCGACAGTCGTGGCAGATGTACGTAGGCGGACGGCTACAGTACATATAATTGAATGATTATCGAATTCTGCCACTGCTAAGCCTAGCCAGCTATATTGGGGCGAAAAAAACAGCGTACTGAATTTTGGTCGAGAAATGTGTTGAAGAGCAACTGATGGAAAACAGAATGTGATATTGTGATAAAATCAAGCTGTATCTTAGGAAGATATTTGGTGAAGATGCGAAATATAAGTACTGAGGATAGGGTGTAGTGGCGAGCTTTGGTTTTCAGCGCCATTTAATTAATTTTCGGGTTCTCTTACAAGGCAATTAATGATATATTTCCGTCTTACTCGCAAAATGACATGTCTTGTCTTTTGTAAGTCAAAATATCTCAAAAAGGAACTTGTCCGATCGCCATGTACGCCATTTAAATGAAATATCTTCTGTCAACGCATATAGTCCGGCATCTTCTATCAATAAAACCAATGGTTATACAGAGTCCGGCAAGGAAACCTGGTCGTTTCTAAACTAATATAATAGTAAAAACGTCAGGTTTTCCTGCCGGGCCCGTGTAGAAGCATTATTTTTAAGCATTTTTACTTTTCGGATTTAAACATATGCTGCTTTTCGGAATCTGGAACTGTACTCTTTTTCAGATTCAGGGAAATTGTACAAACTGTGTGTGCCCCTTTAAATGAAACCATTCCTTGAGCCTAGATATGAAAGATCAGAGTGGTTCTATATGTGAGAAGGAGCTGCGAAGCACAGTTATGGATAATACCAGAAAGATATGTGAGGTGAAAGGAAATATGCGATGGAAATTTTACTAGCAAACAAGATAAAATAAAATATTATGATATGAGAAATCCATGTAATACAATTCGGTTAATTTGTTTGACAACGCAAGAACGCCAATTACAAGGAAGCACTGGCTAGAAAACAAGGTATGAAAAATTATAGTAAAGTTGATTATGAGATTGAGGACATCTTCCTCAGAAACGTAAAGATTATGATCATAACCAATGCAAAACAAATCCCGCGATTAAAACACAGGCAAGTTCAAACCAAAACATGCAGTAAACCTGACAACATACTCCGAGGGAGAATATAATCTCGTTCCTTGATTATTATGTAAATATAAACCGATTAAAAATAGCAGATAAGGAAAGTGAAAAAATACTAACATACAAACAAAATACTGGTTGAAATACATCCCTTTTTGAAAGTAATACCAAGGATCATAAGAGCAAAAGGAATAATTTCTTAAGAATTTAGAAGACATTCATAGTAATCATGCTAGCGTGAATTTGCAGAGCACTGTCATTCTTCGGATAACACACACCTTCAGGTAGACATAAAGGTAGCGCCTTAACTTAAAAAGTATTTTCCGTGTAGGGTATAGGGGCAAGGGTTGTCATTGACACATGGATAGGCATTCTCTAATTTGGTGTGAATAATAATAAGAGTTTTACCAGTCGGGTTCTGAATTCAAACGGCATGTATTTAAGAAACGCAATAGGTCGTCTGTATGTAATAATTATAAGCTTATTAATCCAGTGAACTGATGGTGATATCGAAAACAAATTCTCCCATGACGACCTTCAGAAATATCCTTCTGTTATACAGCAGAACACTATACATGTGCTCCTTTTCTTTACATTTGTAGCAAGTATGTACTGCATGAACCAAACTCCATAGAAGATGGTATTGGAGCCCCAGACTGGCGTCTCACTCTGTGTCTGCTGTTTTCGTGGATAAGCATCTTTGTGGTTATTGTCCGAGGTGTGAAGAGCTCAGGCAAGGCAGCGTACTTCCTCGCGCTCTTCCCCTATGTAATTATGGTTACCCTGCTTATCCGTGGTGCTACTTTGCCAGGTGCTGGCCAAGGGATTCTGTTCTTCATCGAGCCTCAGTGGGGAGAACTATTAAATCCCGAGGTAAGTGAAAGGATGGGCTCTGCTTACTTAATGACTTCATCAGCGTCGAACGAAATGTAAGGATGGAAAAGAACTGCAAGTGCGAAAGTATTTGCACGCGTGATCCATTTGCAACTGCAATCCCAACATAATGTCTGACAGAGTAAGGAAGTACACAAGGAACTGAAAAAGAAGTCTCTAAATCGAGCAGTTTAGAACACTAGACCTTCCAAATAGAAGTCTGTAGGTTACTGCTAACCGAACCTGCTGTCTCAGGCAAGTAGAAATTTAGAGATAATATTTGCGTGAGCATATCAAACAAAAAATTTTAGTTGTTAGCTCGCTACCCATATTCGTAGAGGTCTTGTTACAGTAATAGCTAGTGTAGTGTACGAAATTTTTGGAAATTCAATACATTTTCGAACTACAGTCGCAAGTCAAAATTAAATTCGTAAGCAAGTTAACAACAGAATTCAAGCTCAGTCGGTACAGCAAGAGGTTAAGTGTTTGGCCGCGGCATAACTCAAGCGGTTAGTCTCTGGCTTCCCACCGCGGCGGCCCAGGTTCGATCCCTGGTCTGGTCAAATGAGATTTGTGGTGGACAAAGTGGCGCTGGGGCGGGTTTTCTCCGAGAACTTCGATTGCCCCTACCAATCTTCATTCCACCAAATTCTCCATCATCATAATCACCCGTGGCAGGCTACAATAGGCCAATCAGTGGCCGCCGTGCCGAGTGGACCCAGCTGGACTCCACACCCCACTGAGCGAATTTAAAAGAAAAAAAAGAGGTTAAGTGCTGAACGGCCTGGGTTCGAATCCCAAAAGAGGCAAGTTTTTCTCTTCTCCACAAAGTCCAGACCTACTCTAGGGCCCTTCCAACTTCCTATACAGCGTGTATAAGGGGCTCTTTCCCAGGGGTTAAAGGGTTCGGGGGGGGTGATGTTGACCACTCACCTCCATCAAATACCGAGGTTAAGAATGGTGGAGCTATACCTCCATTTCTCCCAACGTCTTAATGTCGTTGTGATTGTGTATTTAAGCACAAGGAAAACCTAATATTTTCTGTCACTTTTTCGAAAATCAAGTGCCGAGGAAAGTATTTTACCTTAAGAGAAAGGAAGTGAGTTCGACTCAGCCTCTATCAGAAATGATTACCAGGTATGTACCTGGGGGTAAATGGCGGCCGGCGCTTAAGGCTGACAATCTTACAGCCATCTGTGAGCCGATTGTTTAGAAAAAAATGTGTGAACCTCGACGCCTCACAACCCTGTGGGCCTTCACAGTTTGTTACAAGGATAGCTTTCAGAAGGAGCGAGTAACAGGAAAATCGTAAATGTCGTTGTACTCTTATGAATTCCAATCATTTTCCAGAAAAGTCCTTTATGTGGTTATGATAAAATATCCATCATAGTACTTCAATAGCACTTTCTATAACAGGTAACACATTATCTGTACGAGTGAAGAAAGTGTCTTGGAACTCATACCAGCACTTAATCAAGGCTTTTAATTATAAAATAACCTTATAAAACCTAGAATGAGTTATTACATGTAGCTTATCAAAAATTCAATTCTTTTTCAGGTGTGGTACAATGCCGTTACCCAAGCCTTCTTTTCCCTCAATATCTGCTTCGGAACGCTTATTATGTATTCATCTTATAATGATTTCAATCATAACGTTTATAGGTGAGTATTGATAAAAATAAAATATTAATTTCTAAAGTTTAAGGCTAATATTAAAATGAATCTTAAGTAAGTAATTTGTGAGGATGTAGACTGGACTCTGTCTAAAGTCATGCACAAGTCGTGAGTTCTTGTGAATATGGGAATGGATCTAAGTTTTGTCGTATAAGGCGGAAAATTTACGGATTTCCTCTTTGAATATATTTAGCTTCTCCAGAATTATTGTTCTCCATACAGGAAACGGGATGTTTAAATAGTCCTTAGATTCGTGTCGAAGACAAGTACCCAAAATGTTAACTTCATAGTGCGCGTACATCATTTTGCAAGCAAAAGTCTCCAGGCTATATAATTGATTTCGATAGGACTACACTAAATTTTGTTGACCCATTTGGTTTTGGTTTCATTTGTAAAGGCCTTTTAATTTATGCATATGAAGTTTTACTTCTATTTGCTTACTCTTTTCTCAGATTTTGATGAAACTTTATATTCATCATCCCTGTTATGATTATTACCACATGTAAGGTTGATTTCTTTAAGTTCATTTTGAAAGCTGGTTCACGCAACATACATAATATACATACATATACATCTCATGGGTCCATTGACCCGTTTTTAAGGTAACCAAATAAATCATTGCTGCTATTGGTTCGCGTTAATTCAAATTAATGGAAATTTTACTTAAAGGCTTCAGCTAACTTTCACTTCCACATTTTGAATCGTTTCGAAGACATAAACAAAGCCGATATGCAGAACTTACATTATTACGTGTGAAGTTCGTTCACTTTAATTCATTTTAAAGTCCATATTACTCGGAGCCAAAGGCACATTTTTGGATATATCTCACTAATCACCGAAAGAAAAATTCTTCGGAAGTTTAGTATGAGTCATAAAAAATAAACTCTTAAAATAAATAAGAGCACAAATTTTCCTCTCCTTCCCAAATTATAAGCATATCGGGGTAGAGGAAGTTTATTCCGTGTTGAGGCGCCACTTATAATGATGGTCCTCAGGATTAAGCACTCATACTGTCATTGCCTTAATGATGCTTCTGTCGCAGGGATGCCATGATCGTCACCACACTTGATACGTTCACTAGTCTGCTTGCCGGCTGCACAATATTTTCCATCTTGGGAAACCTGATGTACGAATTGGGTATAGATGATATACAAGGGGTTGTGCAGGGAGGCACTGGGCTTGCTTTCGTGTCATACCCCGATGCAATTTCCAAGTTCGATGCTGTCCCTCAGGTATCTGATATTTCGCTTGAATGTTTACTATTGAAGAAGATTTAAGTTTAAATTGTGATGTTCAACACATAAACAGCACTTCGTAAATTGAACTGCTCCCGTTTTAGTGCAGGAACATTGGTTAATACAAGAAGTAGAGGCTTCTCTGAGTGTACACCCAATACTGCTGTCTTCCTCGACAGATAATATGAGAGTTCACATATTTAGAACCAGGTGTATGCGTATAAAATGCTTATACAAGAGTAATATTCCTTTCCTTGTTTGATTTATGAGTTGTAAGTCTATTATATTCTTTGTTACAGCTTTTTGCAGTGCTGTTCTTCTTAATGCTCTATACATTAGGGATCGGCAGTGCTGTAGCTCTTTCAGGAGCAGTTATTACTGTTATCTGTGACAGCTTTCCAAATTTGAAGTATTGGATTGTTGCATTAGCCACTTGCATAGTTGGTTTCATTGGGGGACTAGTCTATGTCACACCTGTAAGTAAATCAGTCCTAATCATATATATACAAATGGCATGAAAATATAATTAAATTATTACGAAATATCTGTCAGTGTCAATGTGTAATCTCATATTTAGAAAATATATAGCAACAGATTTGGTGACTTTTTTTTTTCTTTTTCATCCCTCAAATTTAAGCGACAGGCAGTAATAAACTTGTAATCTCTATATTATTGCAGTAATGTTCTGGTGTATGACACTCGGGATTACTTGGCTTTTGGACTTTGTCCATCTTCCGGTATTCCAAAGAACACAACTGGATCTGTTTCCGTCCTTAGGTGAGGAAGTAAAGCGGCCTCCGTAGTCTAGGGGTAACTTTCCCACCTCATGACTCAAGGTACGCGGGTTCAAAAACCTTGTGGAGGTCGTGGAATTTTTAAGGGCGGAAAAATTCAGGGAACAAGTCCTCCGGGAGGGACTTTAAGCCGTGGGTCCCGTGTCGTAGATTTACGGCACGTAAAAGAACCTCATGTCTCTAGGAGACCTCTGAGCAAAATTAGGCCAAGTTTCGCGCCCAACTAGTTTCCAATTCCTCCGGTAGATGGGGGAAGTATCAGGTACCACTGTCAGAGGAGGGGGGACCTCTCTGACAGAAAGGGACTAAAGCATTAGATACCACTGCCAAGTAGAGGGTAGAAACCTTGCTGGCAGAAAGGGACTAGGAACCCCTGCCAGAGGAGGGACGACCTCGCTGACAGAAAGGGACTATTAGATACCACTGCCAGTAAGAGTTTGGAACCTCGCTGCAGAAATGGGCTGATAGTAAGCACCAGTACCGGTAGGGTATGGAGACAGTAGAAATTAAAAAGGGACGCACAATGGACCAGTAACCGGTCTAAGTGCTTGGGGAAACCCACCCCCTCAATACGGAATACGGAATAGGTGAGGAAGTAGGTGACAACAACAGTGCTGAATCCATTCAGAAAGAGCTAACACTAATTACTGGACGAAACAAATCAAATTTCCAAGACGCTGTGTCTTCAGTGTACTTCAGATCAGTGGTTCTCAACCTTTGTGAGATCGCGGCCCGGTATAGTTAATGCTAGGTCCCGGTAGCGAGCAGCGGCCCGGCGGTTGAGAAACACTGCTTTAGATTACCGGAACAAGACGAAGTCGAGAAACCAGTAACACCGACAATGTTTTAGTCACAGAGATGTTTTTAGGAGATTTATTTTTGTACATTGATCACAAAAATAAAAACAAAATTTTTCTGTCACCCTCTGATTTTGAGTGACACACAAATTTAGATTTTTTTTAAGATTCATATTTTGTGTCATATTAACGAATTCGTTCAATTGTTAGTAACTTGCAAGAATTCGCCCCATTTTGAGCGATTCTATGTACATAATTTCACTTGCGTCAGCCACCCGAACGCTGCCTCTTATGCTTATAGAAAAGTAACTTTTAAACTTTAAAACCGAAATTTGACAACCTCGTCATAAAAGCATACATATTTTATTCAGTTTGAAGGCAGAGAATCAGGACAAGAATTGGCAACCTCTAGTAAGAAGTGTTTACGTGTTGAAGATTTCCGACAGGCTGGCCGAGTGCATCTCTTCTAAATAACCAAATTCTGTTTGCGATTCTGGTGGTTGGAACAGAATCTAAAACCACTCAATGCATTATTATTTGTATTGAAAATGTATACATATTATGATTTACTGCTGAGTCTGAACATTGGCTGAAATACCCAAATTTATCTTACACCTGAAGTCCTCTTTTACACATTGAAGGTTTACTAATGAAGATTTGCTTGTACCCAGGCCGCCAGGAAAAAGGAGTGCAGATGATGAAAATTGACGTGGTATAAGTTGTAATGATGAAGGTCAAACGGGCGGAAACTCAAAGTAATGCCTATCATCTGTATAAACCGTCTTGATCGATCTGAATTTGCCAAAGCAATCGGAATTTTTGGTTTGTGGAGTGAAATTAGGAATTTCCCGGAGAAAGGAGCTACGATATCTTTCTTGTGCAAGCGTCAAAGAGAAATTTGCTATTATTTTCATCAAGAGGACAATGTGAACACTTTCACAGAAGTCTTTGGCTGACATCATGATTAAAAAATGGCTCTCAGTTATGGAATTCTTGAGCCTCAGTTCGAAACCCGTGTTGCTCCACAGTGGGAATGGGTACCCTTCAATTTTAATTACACACGCCACTCGTGCATAGAAATCATACTCCATATCCAATATGAAATGTATTTATATATATATATATATATGGGGGGTCTTAAGTAATTTCGCTTCTCCTTGGCTTACAAATGGGCTACGTGAAATGCTGCTGCTTAGGACTGTAAACTGGACAGCTGAGCGCGGGAACGTCACCACTCAAAGAAACAATGATCACTTCAATTAATAGTAACTCAGTTAGCAGAGAGATTTGACGTTTTTGTGACATAAAGTCCTGGATTTAGCCTCTGATGCATTTAAGTATATGGCATGAAAGTAGTATTTTTTTCTCCTTGAAACATTTCACCGAATTAGTTTCATTGCATTTTCATGACAAGGGCAGTAATATAACTTCTGACGGTAAAATTCAATCTGGATATGTAAATTATTCCAATTTGCATACGTTTTTCTGTTCAATTTCTTGTAATTTTCTGTCATTATTATGCCTAATATTTTACGATTTTGCAGGGTGGACAGTATATTTTGACTCTGGTGGATTTCTATGGTGCAAACTTCACCGTTTTCATCTTAGGAACAATTGAAATGATTGGAATAGCTTGGATTTATGGTACGTTTTACATATTATTTAAAGAACTCACTTTTGGATATCGTGTTGGTCATATATTTATCCTATGGTAGGATTCTCATATGCTTCTGTCACTCAGGGATTTTTATTCCGCCTGCTGAAGAAAATTCTAGGAATTAAGTTGTATCAGTAACTCTAGTGTAGAATTGAATCTGAAAACTGCACTCCTGTGTTCTTAATGGAACGGGATATAAATTGTTGGGAATACTATTCCGAAATAATAACAGCAAATTAAGTTTAATTACCCTGATGTTACATTAGGGATAGCGGCTTTGTAATTAAACAGCATTCTCCAGTAAAATTTCTGGGTTTCTGCAGGTGTGGATAACTTATGTAATGATTTGGAGTTCATGCTCGGTAAGAAAATGGGCATATATTGGAGACTATGTTGGGGTGTTGTTACACCAGTTCTCATGCTTGTCATCCTTGTGTACTCCATGGTCATCATGAAACCAGAAACTTACCATGATGAACCGTTCCCAACATCTGCTTATGGTAAGAAGGACAATGTGAAATATTGACATTAACTCAGTAACATTAACGAGGTACAGCTGGAGAGGAAACCTGTCTATCTCATATTATGCCAAAATTGTATGTTCTGAAACCAAATACAAAGTTCTTAGAATACACAAGCCAAGACGTTTGTAACTTCTTATGTCTTAATAAAAAAATATGCCCAAATAATGCCAATAATAGTAGTATGCAATCATTATGTAATTTAAAACAATATTTGAGGCTTATATATACCTGTTATTGAATACATATATTTTGGATATTTCATTATTACCTTTTGAATAATGACATGTCGTTTGAATTGGCTAACATGTCAAAACAGAATATGTTATATTTTCTTACAGCTGCAGGTTGGATTCTTTTTACATTTGGAGTGATCCAGCTTCCATTTTGGGCATTGCTTGTTATATTCAAGAGGAGAAAGGGGACCTTCCTTGAGGTTAGTTACTTCACGCACAGATGAAACAGGATGATTGACAGGGGATTAATAAATGTGTCTATGTAGTCTATGAGTCAACGAAAATTTTACAAGGAATTTGAATTTTTTTAGCATATTCTCTATATTTAGGAAATAATTCTCGAGTTTATTCAAATTCTATCACACCAATTCCGTCACTTCAAGCAGATATTATTGGGTACGTTTCTGAATATACAGGTTCAATATCCCTTCCATTTGTCTATTTTTGTATAATTTTCATGGGTTCATATCCCTTGAAGAGTGAGAGACCCATGGGTTGTAGGTGATTTTTGGCTACTAGTGCGTTAGTCACGTGACTGGGCTGTAGCTGTTTCAGGACGTCACTCCAGTGCTATCTTGGGTGTTGAGGCGCCGTCCTGACACTTCATTTGGAGACAGTGATATGGAAAATTAGAGTCGTATTTCAAGATCAGAAGTTATACAAGACCCCCTAAAATATAAGATACCGAGTGTGCCCCTCTAGACACTTGGAAATACTATGAGTATAATTGTCAGATAGGATATGAAATTACATACTAGTAGTTGCTCTGATATTAAAATATCGTTATTTACACGATTCTTTATGAATGAAACAGAATATAAATGAAGCCATGAAAATCTAATGTAATCACTTATCTTAGAGTTGCTGCTGACTTCTACAGAAACAGGAATTCATTATCTTCCTAGATTATTATAATAACTTGCTCTTTTTGAATCAGGTCGTACTTGCTATTAGATAGATAAGGTATGTTGAAAAGCCTAACGGATCATTTTAAAGGAGTCTTTCCAAAATTTCTCTAGAAAATTGCTGCGAGTAATCAGAAATCCTAGCAATTATAGTGCCTTCATTCCCGTGTTCGCGTTGAGTTCGAAATGTTCAGCTGCCTGTAATGTGAGGTCACAGAAGTTCAGTGATTCAGTTGACGGAGTCTGCATAACACACACTACTGTCGTACAGCAAATAATATATATTTATTTATAGTTTATTCAACGAATTTATCGGTAGCTTAGGTCATGTAGCATCGAATGTTAGGGTGAGTGATGAATAATGGGTTCAAAAGGATGTTGAAGGAAGCAGTCGTAGCGCAATTTGAAATATTATTAGTTACGATAGGATTCTGACGATGGTGTATAACACACAGAGATATTGGGTTTTTGGACTTTATCCATCGTCCTGGATTTTAAGATAACTAATAAAAACACGACGTTTCGGAAACTGGGTCTGTTTCCGTCCTCAGGTGAGGGAAACAGATCCAGTTTCCGAAACGTCGTGTTTTTATTAGTTATCTTAAAAACCAGGACGATGGATAAAGGCCGAAAACCCAATATCTCTGTGTTGGAATATTATGTCCAGCATTTTTCTTCAGAGACTAAGGATTTTATGAGGAACTTCAGTCAATAAAGCTTATCCGAGATTTGAACACGAGACTACTCGGATACGAAGGACTGCTATTAACTCGACACAACGGTTCGATGAAAATACATACTTGCTACAAGACGACGATAGGTCAAATCAGATAAGAGCAGTGGAAATGAAAATTGTAAAAGTAAAATTTCAGTTTAGAATGTTAAAGTTTAAAATTCCTTAGCAGAGATTCTATACGTAAAAGATATCTTATAATTTTCTTGGAAAGAGAAGGATTTCACTTAAGTAAGGCAATATCGTTTTCACGAAAAAACTTGAGAATAGAACCTTAAGAAATGCTGTTGTAAGAAGTTTTACGTATAACAGAAATATAAGAATTCATTAATTTGCCTAGGATTTTAGGTTTCACGTCTGTAAGTATTGAGACTTCTGTCCACAGGGATGCAGTTACTTGTACTTAATTTATGTGAACAACGTAAGGTACAGTATTACAGTTCTTAATTTTCAGTATGATGATTTTATTGGCGTTAGCGTACTTAAAATATTCGTTAAAACGACTGGTGGATTAAATGGCACCAAATTGACTGCAGAGCGTCTATTAATGAATTAAAACTTATGCGTTTTATGCAGTCAAATATGTAGGATAATTCTTGGAACAATGATTTTATTAGGACAATTTGTTTTTTTATATCCTTTATATTTGTACCAGCAATTAAACCTAAAATATCACATGGGTGATTTCAAACTCAAATTTCTTTCATAATAACAGTCTAAATTTCGGGGAGTAATGTTTAGCTTAAATAATATCCAATACTATCCACTACAAAATGATATTAGTATGTAATGAACCAAAATATTAGTTCGTGTTCAAGAATGATTTTTGATAAGAATATAAATGTGGGTTTGTTTGTGCTGGTTAATGCTAAATAAAACCAATAATTAGGAGTTTAAACTATCCTCTTTATTTCAGACAATGGAGTCTGCATTCCGATATTCGGAGCTGTGGCGTCCACGGGATAATCGGAAATATAAAGAGTGGAAGGACTTCAAAGAGAAGAAGACGAGAGAACTAGAGCAATTCTTGCGTCATGAATCATTGTGGGAGAAAATTGTCCGTATAATCACCGGGAATTCACCACTGAGAAGCAGACTGGATGAATCTAGTTCTGTACAGACTAAATACTGATGTGTTTGTCACGTGAAACGTATGGTTCATGTTTATCACAAGGTACAACATGTATATAAATTTTATACAAATAATTTTCATATTCTGAATACGTAAAATGCTCCACATTTACAGTGTTACCTACTGAGTACTGACTGGTTAGTGTCAACTCTTTCTGCAAGTAGTAGTATATATTAATATCTCTTTAGTAATAGGTTCTTTATAAACTAGACAACTAATTACCTCCACAGAGAAGATAATATTTCAGAAGCATATCACTATCTTCTTCGCAAAAGCCCGTAAAGTGAGATGCTCTATCTAACATCCCTAACACAATGTATATTTTTTACGGTCAGATAATTTTAGCGTCCTTCCCCACCCCACCACAGGCTGGAGGACCATGTCTTGACATCTGTCCGCATCTGCTTCAATTTATTCACAGCTCTCCCCCCATACCTCGAGGCTGTCTCCTTCATCCAAAACCTGAGAAATGGCCAATCATGGTGACAAAGGTTCATTAAATACACTATACAACTGATTCAAACTTTTGATCATTTCTTGATATCACATTACACAGTGTAATATCAGAAAATTAGTATCCCGTCATTTAAAAAATCGTCCACTTTAATATTGTAACCTAGAAATCAAGAATCGAAAATTTTGATCACAAATAATTTTAGTCTTCTAATAGAATTTAACTTTTAACACTTAATTCTTATTTTTTATTGAAGAGATAAATATTATGCTTATTGACTTTAACACTAAGTGCAAGGTCAACTGATATACATAGAAGAGTGATCGAAATGACCTTTACACCAATCATCCCTTTGCTTTTTAAGCTATCTTTCTAACTGAAATTGACAAAGATTTAAGGAACTATGACTGCTGCCGTTTCAAATTTCCTTCACGGTAGTTGGGATTGTAATCTTAGAAAGCCCTGTCTTAATTAAATGAAGATTAAAGTTTTGAGCAGAGTTTGAGCCAGAAAAAATTATCTTCATAATTATTAACTTTAACGTCGTTACTGAATAATTTCCCCGTTATCCTCGACGTTTTTGTATCTGAGCTGATCCTGATACTTTGCAGATAATGTGAAAATAATTTTAAAATCAATAAAGCTACACCACTCCGTGATATAAAATTCTTCTTGTGAACTAGACTGTTTCTAAAATAATCAAGAAATTCTCTGATCCGTATGGAAAGCGGAAATTATTTCGCCCACAAGAGCCTGCCACTGGAACCTGTCCTGAGCTAAATAAATTGAATTCATGCCTTCACACCTTATTTTTTTAAATCAGTTTAATATCATCTGCTCTTCTGTGCGTAATTCTCCAAAACAGCCTATTCCTTTCAGGTTTTACGATACATTTTATATATTTATATACCTTCCCGTGAGTGAGACAGGTCACGCCCCTCACGTCCAACTTCATTTTATAATTTTAATAATATTAGAATGGGAGTTCAATCTATGTATGAAGCTTCTTATTAAGAATTTTCCTTCAGCTTCCTCTTATTCCCTTTCTTGTAGATATTCTCCTCAGCACCATGTTCTCAGACACACTCAACCTACATTCTCCCCGTGCGATGACAGACAAATGCTCACACCGAACCAGAATAACAGCGAAATTTTTTATTCTACATAAATACTTTTATGCAGAAGACGCTGAAATAAAAATTGTGACATGAATATTAATCTGATCTTGATTTTACTCGAGAATGTAATTCTATATTTTATATCATTCTTTAGTGAAATATTTATATTATTTTTTTTCCTTGGCACTACAGCCCCAGTGGGCCTAGGCATACCTCCATGAACTTCTCCATTCACTTCGGTTTTATATTATTTAGCTTACTTAAATCTTGATGGTTAATAAACAAATTAAGGGCAGATTTATTTGCTGCGAAAAATACCACATTCCATCTCCGGAAAAACATTTACCCCAACCCCCTCCCACTTTCATAAACATTTCAATAACAAACATGTATGAACTCTCATTTTACAACAAATTACAGCACTACGTTAAAAAAACTCCAACAGCGTTAACACTTTAAGAATATAGTCGCTGCTCTTACAGGCACATCCACTACGGAGCATCGAGCATTGTATCTGGAAAACACGTAACTATATCGGTTAAGGGAAACAATGGAACATGTCCTGTAGCTTATATGTCGGACATGATTCCAATCCCAAATTACATATTCAAATATATTTTCCTTTTCCTTTTGCAGAAGATTGATACTAACCTTAATGGATCATATTTATTATAAGCGCAATCGAATGTAAACGTGCCTGTAGCTACCATTTCCTGTCGTCAGACATGAACTGCTTATTCAAAATACATTAAGAAATAATTACATCAATAAACATAACAGCTTTATAAATAATAATTACAAAAGGAGCATATTTTTAAGATATAGAACGTAAGTAATACTTCAATACCTAATTTTAATTGATATGCTGTAGAATGCAGTTCGGAAACCGCAGGTGTAAAGCAACAGAAAAGATAACTAGTTTTTCACAATTTGATGATAGGCAGGTATTCTCGAGAAGTCGGCTTCTAGCGTTCTTTGTACCGATGCATCGGATCTAATGAGGGCAGAGATGACGGTTTTTGAAAGATTTTCCTTTAAATTATATTTGTTAAGGTTGGATTATACAGAAAAACATTAGACATAGTTCACCATAGACCAACAAAATCTAACTACTTCAGCTTGTTAAACAGTGTTTCTACGTCACTCCCACTGCGACACCCGGACCTGTTGAAGCAGAAAGAAACGACGCGGAAACTGCTTCATAGGAAACTTACAAGAGGAAACATTCTATTTTTTACCAACGTATCCATCAATAATACAACTTTAAAAAGACACTAGGAATATGTTGTTCACTAAAAATGCATTTCAATACTATGACAGTTCAAATCAATAAACTGCCTGTTGGTCTTTACGTAGTACATAAATTTACACATTAAAAGTGAATGTTCACACTCCTCAAATTGTCTTGGTTTTACATGTATTTTTACAAATTTATATTCACATGTTTCGCCCTAATTGGGCCATCATTAGGTGAATTCTGCAAAAAGAAATAAAATTAATATTAAAAAAGTGTAACAATATAATTCGAAAAGAAAATATATGGATATACACAAATATGAATCGTAGCGCTCCAAATCTACACGCGACAATAAAGCTACATAAACAAAACACACCAATTAGGCCCATATTCAACTGGAAGATTGCACCAGCGAAAGAGTTAGCGAAACAATTGTCAAAAATGTTGCAAAATTACTTAAATCTTACCATATACGTACAACGTGCGCAATTGCAACCAACTTATGACAGGATTAAAAACCATAGAATTAAATGTAATTATTATTATTATTATATTATTAATTATTAAATATAAGAATGTGTTCCTTCGACATTGACAATATGTATACAAACATACCAAGACAACACACTAAAAACATAATTAGTAATATTCTAGAGAATAATAATGAAATACAATCCAAAATACCGAGGGAAATAATAGGTATACTCAAAGTGAGATGAGACACAAGGAGCACATTCAGACTATTAGGAGTAACTGCAGTAAATGAGGATATTCGTATCACATATTAAATAAGAGACACACTTACGGCAAAATAGAGCATACTATGGATGTCTTAAGAATTGTTAGAAAAGGTAAACACTTGAAAACACTTGAAAGGTACCACTTCTATAAAATATTAAAAAAAAATTACATATAGAAATTCACAATCCAATATTTCAAATAATACATGAACTCTACGACAGATAGCACTGGACACACCATACAGAATAAGGTAGAAACAAGAGCAACGACATTACGTTCAGTATACTGGTAGACCTCAATGGGGACACCGACACATGGAAACACGACGACAAAAGTAATTCGCTTAGTGGATGGTGGAGTCCAACTGGGTCACCTCGGCACTGCGGCCACTGATTGACGTCAACTGTAAGTACACATATCGTATATGATAACATCAAGGTAGCCAAAGAAGCGTACACTAGTCATTCTATTACGTGTTGTATGTTACAGTGATAACAGCCGCAAAATAGCTGGATAAAAATGAAATTTAACAACTGGCATGAAGTAAAATAACGACGTGCGCGAGGGAAGCACGGGAAACAAATACAGTGCAGTAGTCTCACTCGAGGATAGAATTCACCTTATACTGGCCCAATGAGGCCGAAACATGTGAATGTAAATTAGTCAAAATACATGTAAAACCAAGACAATTTTAGGAATGTAAACATTCACTTCTAATGTGTAAATTTATGTACTACGTAAAGGCCTACAGACATTTTATTTATTTGAACTGCCATAGTATTGAAATGCATTTTTAGTGAACAACACATTCCTAATGTCCTTTTTAAAGTTGTATTATTGATGGATACGTTGGTACAAAATACAATGATGCCTCAATACATCGGGATGCCGAAATATAATATTAAAAGAGGAAAATAAGCTTCTTTTTACTGGACCGAAAATGGGTGTTAAAAATTTGTCGCCACACTCTGTCAGAAGATCTGTGATGATGTGAAAAGTGTGGGATCTTGAAATAATATTATTTTAAAGTAAATATTTTTAGTGATAATATAAACTTTATGTCAACAGTGTAGTTGTGTATACATGTCAGATTAGTAGGACTTACTTTTTGTTCCAGTCTTGACAAAAATCATACATCTACGAGTAAAATACAAACAAATATGTCACCCTATTTGTTACACCCTCATCAAATACCTCCTAACCTGCTTCATCCTATTCCTTAAAATTAGGCTTGGGGGATCGTCATGCTCTCTGTATATGTTTGTATTGATCTGTAGGCCACATATTTCAATTTCTAAAACAAATAATCAATTTCCACAGAACTTGGCACGAAAGTTATGCCATTGAAAGCCATCCTATCCGAGAAATTTTCAATTTCCCACAGTCAGTAACGACGAATTCTGTACACCCGAATTTGTGATGCGGAATCACTACCTCCATTTCTCCTAGGATCCTGACGGTGCGTATGATAACAGAGAGTGGAAAATATATAATTTTGCTAAGGCTAAATAATAATAAATTTCAAATTTTTTGTGTTTACCTTATGTGGTTCATTAATTATGGTCACCGAATCGACAGCTGAGGAATTTTTTTTTGCAGGAAGAAAGATCGCAAGCAGTCCTACATCTTACCTGTGAAATCTCGCTTGTACATCAACAAATACAAACAATGGGACAATGACAATCTTTGGAGTAATGTGTGGTATATTTAAGGCATAAAGTTTGTACAGCAGTCGTAAACATTTCAGAAAATAAAATAAAATAATGCTAATATTGGAGTAATAGATCTATCTGACCATGAACCTACATAACTGGAAAGAAGGCTTTATGAATTCTAGGCGGAACCCATTCTTTCGGTTTACATTTACGTTGTTTGTGACTGTTTTATATAAACGCAGGAGGCAGAAGAACTATGTTGCAATGAAGTTACTTGCAGCCAATGAACTACATTTTGCAATTTATAAATACCCACATTTAGTAATTCCTTACTCCTGCAATCACATTGATCTTACTAGTATAACATATATAGTTAGGTTAACCATCGCCACAACAAAGTGTTTTATAATAAATCAATATTTTACAATTGAATATTTATTTCCTGCTACATGTTTCGGTCTCCTAAGACCATCATCATGCAGTGATACAAGAATACATCTAGAGTCATTTAATTGCTAATATGGATCCATTTTTGGTATAAAATGTCATACTCTGTGATATAGAATTGTACCTCGAGTTAAATATGAACACTGAAATTAAGTAAATATATATAATATACCTAAGAAATATTGAAAACATGTATATTATAAAAGTACACGTATGTTGACTCTGTATTAAAGGTATTGAAATATATATTAAAATTATTTAAAACATTATTAATTTATTAAAAATTATTAAAACTTAGGTATGCCAAGTTTTGAAGTTTTCGAAATTATAGTGCCCAGCATAGTGTTAAGCTAGATCATTATACATGTATAGTACTTGGATCCATGTTGTTAAGCGTCCACATTGTAAACGGTCATAGCGCCCAGGGGTAATTGTCGATGTATATGGAAGCTATTGTAATGGGTAGTGCTAAGGTACACTTGTTCGTCGATATAAAGTCATGTGATACTTGTGGTCGTTAATTGTATCGTGTGCGCTTCCTTGTATGGGCGTTCTATTAGGTATGTACTGCACTGTGCTTAGCCCGATGTGGATCTTGTAACTCTTCATAAACCTTTTTTTTTATTTTAAAATAAGTTTACAATCTACTCAATATACATAAATAGAGTAATTAGTAAAAGGGATGGGTGTATGTAATATTGAAGCAGGTATCATCCTCCGATGATTCTCTGGTGCTTATCTAATGAGATCCTCTGGCCACATTCTGTTTAGTCTTCTTTCTATTGCTGGTTGGTTGAAGAGGTTTCTTATTAGCTGGTTGTTGTTTTGAGTGGTCCGGTTTTTATATTTCTCCGTTTATGCTGTGATGACTTCTGTTACATATGGTATGCTTAGATCATTGTGTAAGGTAGCGTTTGATACGTACCAGGGAGCATTAACTAGTTTTCTTAGCGTTTTGGATTGGAACGTTTGGAGAATTCCTGTGGTTCATAAACCTACAATCGAAATTATACATTTGCCTGAGTATTAAACGTTTCTCGGTTCGAGCCTGTTCCAATACTAAATAAACCAAGTCCCTATTATTAAAAAAAATCACATTTAACTTATATTTTAACAAATTTAAGTAAGAAAATGTTGCCCTCGTCACTGAATTTAAGAAGGATGTAAAGAAGGAAAATCGAAGAGATAAAGAAAGAGATGTGAAGAGTAAGATTTATCTCGGAAGAAACCAGACGTCATACACATCCTGCTTTTCCTCGTACATATGTAACCTTGTCATTAAACGTCATTATAGGCTCCTAACTGAAATATTGCAGTACTCGTTATGTGAAGGTCATGCGAGAAGCGTTTTTGTTCCCTTGTGACATTCACCTGCATTCTTTGGCAGACCTACAGCATTCAATGCAGGGATTTAGCTGACTGCGTAGTAAAGTACAGTAACTGCATCTGCGGACTCGATGGCACGTCTTCGGTTCCATGGAGAGAAGGTGAGGAGTATTTTAATTCACGATGAACCTGACAACGACTAACGAACCACACATCGGGGTTTGCATTGTCAGAAGTTAAAGTGGTCTGAGTATAAATATTATACACTACGTATATTCACAAGTATTAGTGACTAATAACGTGGGTTCTGGATTGGATGAACGAGTTTATTTAGTCTTGATAAACACCAATAATTACACGTAATTATAACGCTATCGCTATTTATACACTAAATAATTCACTGTTACACACACACACACACACACACACACTTGTCGTCTCTTAGTAACGCAATTAAAACACAGTAACTATAACAGTCTCACCGAATTACACACTCCAAATATTACACATAAGTAAAGTCTTCTATATCTGCTTACACTATTCGTTGCTAGGTAACAGATCTAAACAATGGTTGCTCCTCTGCAAAGTTTTCCGTATCCGTTTCCTGGTGACGGATTTTAACAGAGGAACTGTAACTGTTACACTACAGATATCACTGCACAATAGCACATATATTTTCTTCTAATCAGACTTAAATCTTCACAGGCCGACTCTTCATTCTTCTTATACAGAGATACCATGTATGCGAGATGTTTCCTCTGGAGACAAAACAAACCGGAGGGGCGGATAGAAGTGCCCAGAAGACGAGGAAGAAGACGTAAGAAGATGCTGGATGACTTTGGGGACAGAAGAGGATATTTTAATTGAAGGAGAAAGCTTTAGATTGTATTAAGGGGAAGAACTGTTATGGAAGAGACTGTGGACCTATCGTCTGACAGATTACTGATGAATACTACGAGCTTCCCGTGGCTTCTCCTACCGAGAACTGACTGATTTATAACGTCGATTGTTTTCGAGATAACTCCTCTCACGGACCCAACGAAAATCACCTTCTTTTGTTACGGATGCGTGTTTACAGCTTCGTTGCTGGTAATAGACGTTCTATAGTGCGTTTGCTAGGCGCGGACCACATAGAAGACAAGGCACGTAAGAGCTAAGTACTCTTGGAATGTGACTTCACTGCGCCTGTGTGGAGGTGTCTTTACCGAGCGGTTGCGTAGAAGCGAGTTATATAACCCCATTGTTCTAATGTTGGTGCGTGTATTACTTAGAAACGGCTGTTTCTGTGGCTCAGCCGTTCTTGCACGGGGAAAATACGCCACAATATCATGAATTATGCCGATGAAGAAAATTATTTTATCATCACTTCCAACAAGTCCAAAAATCCAAGCAACGCGACACATCTGCCGTTGTGTAAAAATGATTGCAAGGTTTGTTGTTGTTATTGTTGTTACTGTTGTTATTATCGCGGGTCCGTATCGGTGAAACTATTTAATCGCCCTTTGAAGTATTGTCCGGTGTTCCACAGGGATCTGTTCTTGGCCCTCTGCTTTTCAATGTCTACATAAACGACTTGTGTGATTCAATTAAGCACTCCAGGTACCTACCCTTTGCAGACGACATTAAAATTTACCGTGCTATTAGCTGTCCTGAAGATAGTAATCTTCTGCAATCTGACGTTGACTGTATAAGTAGCTGGTGTGCAGCGAACTATATGAAACTCAACGCTGACAAAACCAAAGTTATAACGTTCTCTAGGAAAACTAACTATTTGATATACGAATACAAACTTCTTCATTTCACTATAACTCGAACATATTCAGTCAAATACTTGGGCGTATATCTTGATTCTAAACTTCATTTTCATGATAATGTTAATTTTATATTTTCGCAGTGTATTAAGATGCTAGGTATAATTCGCAGTATCACATTTAACTATTCAACCCTTGGATGCATGTTCATTTTATATTTTACTTTAGTTAGATCCAAGGTTGAATACGCTTCAGTAGTTTGGAATTCCATTACGTCAACTGATGCAAACAAACTAGAACGCATTCAGCAGAAATTTACGGCTCTCTGTCTTAAACGCTTTTTTTTCCTCAAGTAGATTACTGTTACGATTTTGCTTTAGAACAATTGAAATTGCACAGCTTTCATAAGAGGAGATTTCATCTTGATGCGCTCTTCCTTATTCAAGTTAATAGTGGTTCTGTACTTTGCCCTTCTGCTTTGGAAATTGTTGGCCTTCGGGTCCCTGTTCTGTATATCCGTGACTTTCATATGTTCAATGTCTGTTCTGTTAGTAAAAATTGCCCTTCTGCTAGATGCGCTTCTGCTGCTAATGTTGTCTGTAGAAACGTTCACGTCTTTGGATCAAAAACTCTGTTGATGAAACACATCTTATACTGAACTAATTTAGCTCTTACTATTATCACTATTTTTTATTAATTTCGTTATTATTATTATTATTATTAATTAATTAAATATTTATGTTTCTTTTCATTTCTAAATAACACTTAGTTTTATGATAATGAAATTATTATTATTATTATTATTATTATTATTATTATTATTATTGTTATTAGTATCATTTATTTGCTTGTTTGTTTACTTTTCTTCATTGTTGTGTTTTCCCAAGAAATTTCCTGTAATTTATTTTTGACTTATAATGTGTTTGTCATATTTTTGTATAATGTTACACGTAATTACTTTCATCTACACTGTGCTAAGTCTGTGATTGGCCTTACGGCTGTTGACTTGGCACATAAATAATAAAGAATTGAATTGAATTGAATTATTATATCAGAAAATTAGCTGCTCCTTCACATCTTCATACACGTGCAAGCATGGGCTAGGTGTTCTACGAGTATATAAGAAATGTATGCTCAGAATTTGAAAGTATTGATTAAAAATATTTATGTTGTTATTAGAAAATCGATATTTCATATCGTCAAGTATTTGGGGTGTGCGTGACTTATAGACGGGTTTTGGATTGGTGACTAGTTTATTGCACACTTACACAACTTGTTACAACATTTCACAAACCACGATGTCTTCTCTTCTCCATTGTCTTCGACTGCTGCCTCTAGAGACTCAAGTCAAAGTCAAAGTCACATTGCGACTGACGGTCAGTCAGTCTGTCTTGGTGTCGAGCCCCGACTGGGGCTCATGACCAGATTTTTTTCTTTATATGAAAGTTACTGTCCTGTTCATTTGGGGCGCCCTCTCTGACGAGAGGTCGGGTCTGTCATTTGTCAGTCATAGTCTGTGTTAGTAAGTCCATTGTCAGCATTTACAGTAAATACAGTATTTAATCTTAATTCCTATTTCTATGTACAATATATACAAGGCCTCTGTCAATCCAGGCTCGGTACCGCAGATTATGCCCTATTTCTACCAGTATTCGCTTCCACGGTAGTCTAGTCACTTGAACGGTCGTATGCCTGACCGCCGCCAAGTTTAAGCCTCTTTTATTTTCTGTGTCGGGCTTCGTCTTGTCCGATGTTGCGGACATTCTCATTTTCATGATTTTGTATGACTTCTGCTTGTTGCCTGCATAATTTTGTTATAAAGTCATAAACGTAGGGGATTTTAAATGCCATGTGCAAATCGCGGACCGGTGTGCGCCTTGGAAAATTGCCAATGGTGCGGAGAACCTTGTTTTGCAGGCGCTGCAATTTCACTAGATGGGTATTTGCCGCAAACTTCCAGGCGTGACTTCAGACTCCCAAAATTCTTCTCGTTATAGAGCCTGGGGGCGGCCCCAAGAGAAAACGCCGTTTCCTAATAATTACTCTATTGTTATAGAGGTGTGTTTACCTAAACGTTGTATAGAAACGGCAGTTCTTCGATTGCTGTGTTCCTTTCCGCGGAAACATGTTTACCGAGTCGTTGCCTAGCAAGGGACGTCTACTCTGACTCTGCTATTCCGGCTTTCA